AACGTCCAAGAGCTGCAGTCACAAGCACGGGTGACAGTGCCAGCTGCCCCCAGCCCCACCGAGGCGCTGGCAACCAGCAGCAAGCTGTGAGCAGATGGCACAGACACGGGGGGCACGGGGAGGAGGGGACACAGACGCTGGTGGCTTTCAGGAGGGACGGCCACAGCCGAGCCGGTTCCCATCCAGGACGACAGCTTGCATATGGATAAACAACGAGATAATTACAACCTTTGGAAGGGGGGGGAAGCCCGTGGCACAGCGTCCTCCTGCTGCCAGCTCCTGCAACCCATCCATCCCCACGCTCCCTCCGCAGCCTCAGCTCGAGGAAATTGCTCGCCATAAAAGCCCTGGCTGCAGCCCTGCCTCGGCTACAGCTGTGAAGCCATTTAGCTATTGATAGCCCCCCATTGTCAGCACTAGGGTTGGGCTTTCGTGAGAGAGAGCAATTTGGGAAAGATGAAAAAGAAAAAAAAAAAAAAAAGAGAAAGCCAACAAAAATGACAACCCAAAAAACCCAACAAACAAACAAGTAAAGAAGGAGAGAGACAATACCCGACAGCTTGCAGGGTTTCCAGGCCTCTGCCAGCTGGGAAGCTGAGCGTATGAAATATGCATTGCACTGAACAAAGCAAACTGAAACGTTTGGAGCTGGAGAGCTGTAACCCTTTCCTGGGCGCCAGAGCCACATGGAGAGCTGCCAAAAATTCAGGGGAAAACACCCCAGGGGAAGAAGCACTCTAGGCTGTGGGTAAGGATTACTGAGCCTGCACGGTCAGATGGGCTCAGCAGGCGGCTGCCTAGGGAAGGTGGAAAGCTGAGGAGCTGTTTGGATGCCAGTGGCTCCAGGAGCAGGATGTGGGATGACTCAAGGCAGGTAAAGCTGTGCTGCCCCTGACACCATTTCAACACCTCAGTGTTGGGTGGAGAAGCCCTTCTGGCAGGACTCTCAGAGCAGCATCTCTCCAGGGGACAGCTCTGTGTCCCCACGCTCCTGCACAGGCACTGGGACCCCCCATGGGACTGTCACCTCCTGCCCCCACTGGCCTGGCACAGTGTCCCCAGGCTGGTGCGCATCCCCGGAGCAGCAAGTGGATCTGACAGGCTGCAGCCCCTCCTTTGGGTGCCTCGAGCAGCCTGACCCAGCCCGAGCCACGTGTCAGCCCCAAAAACCAGCACAAGGTACAAAACACCCAGAGGAAGCAGCACGGGAGCAGCTGAAAACCTGAGCAAGTGGGATGCAGGGAGCACAGGGCTCTGAGATGAGACTCAAGGACTGGAGGAAAGGAATCCAGCACTCCAATCAAGGGATGGGAGAAAATGCAGGGAAGATCAGAGATCCAGCAAACTTTCAGCTAAGTAGATTATTGATCTTGAGGGTGTGCCAGGAACCAGCTTTGCAAATTACAGCGGTCCCCTGCTGCAAGCCCAGGCAGTTACCGGATGGCAGAGCAGGAACACTCCCTGCTCCTGCCACCCACAGGCTGCCTCCTCCTCCTCCTCCTCCTCCTGTTTGGATCCAAAGGGTGCTGGCAAGAAAGGAGAGGGAGTGATGCCCCAGCCTAACGGGAGTGCCGGGGTTAGTGGGGAAGGAGCAGCTCGGTGGAGCAGGAGGCAGAACTCAGCCCAACGCGGGCGGGGAAGGCGCTGACCTTGCGAGGCTCCGCAGACAATTCCCTTGGCAAAGGCAGCGCTCTGTGCTCGCTGTCGGGAGGGCTCTGCAGGCACAGCCGAGGTGTGAACGCCTCGCAGATTGTCCTGACAGTGCCTCAGCCCCGGCACAGAGATCAGCTGCTCGCAGGAGCCCAGGGAGGAGAGATGGCTCAGAGCCCAGCTCCTGCCGGGGTGCTCAGCATCCCCCTGGATCAGCCCCATGGTGCTGGAATTATGGAATCACAGAATATCCTGAGCCAGAAGGGACCCACCCAGATCATTGATCCAACCCCTGGCCCTGCACAGACCCCCAACAATCCCCCCTGGGCACCCCTGGAGTGCTGTCCAAACTCTCCTGGAGCTCTGGCAGCCTCGGGGCCAGGACCATTCCCTGGGCAGTGCCAGCAGCCTCTGGGGGAAGAACCTCTTCTGATATCCACCCTAAACCTCCCCTGACAGCTCCAGCCCTTCCCTGGGCCCTGTCCCTGCTCACCACAGGGAAGAGATCAGTGCCTGCCCCTCTGCTGCCCCTCATGAGGACACTGAAGACCCCTGAGGTTTCCCCTCAGTCTCCTCCAGCCCTCAACCACAGTCAGGCTCAGAGCCCTCCTGAGAGGGAGGCGAGGAAGGATTTGTTCATCCTTCTCACAAGAGGCAAGGAAACAGCCACAGGGTTATCTGGTGGCACAGGCAGGGTGACACCAACCAGCTCTTCCCATCCCTGGGCCAGCCCCTGATTTGAACAAAGATCTGATTTGAAATAAAGTCCTTTCTCGGACTGCTGGAGTGTGATGAGCACTCGGACTGTCAGATCCGCCTTGCTTTAAATAAATCCCACTGACGTTGTCTCTCCTGACATGAATTATTAACTGAGCACACAGTGCCAGCAGCGATGTCTGGGGCAGGCACTGAGCAGGTGAGGCTCTGCCTGGGACCGCAGGTGTGAGGCACTGGAATTCCAGCATCCCTGGCAGCAGAGGTGTTGTCACCATGGCTGCCACCTGGTCACGCCAGGGAAAGTCACACTCTGTGCCCAGGGCATATAAAACCCAAACTCCTGGCATCCCCACACAACCATCTGTGCCAACACATGCTGGGAGCGGGGACTGTTTTTCCCACCTTGTGACAGTCCCAGGGACAGAGGCAGCTGGCTCTGCTCTGCTCCTGGAAATGTTGTGGATGTCCTGGAGGTACCCAGCCAGACACTCTCTCCTAGGGTGGCCTGAACAGATGGGACCATTGCTCACCCTTCAGCCTGAAGAAACTCCCAGTTAAACTGGGACCAGAGGAATGATGGGTGAGATGGAGACAGCTTTTCAGAGAGGGACCAACCCATGAGCCAATGCCCAGAGGCAAATTACCCTCCCCTGGCTGATGACTCGAGAATTCACCAGAACATTCAAAAGATCCCCAAGGGAGAGCCTGACGGAAAGTGAACCATCAGCAAGGGGCAGGGAGCCAAGGTGGGAGCTCCTGGAAGAATTGTGAGCCGTGGGTATGGACCTCAGCCACCCACACTGGTGAGAAATCACCAGCATAAAGTGCAATTCCTCTGCCCCCAAAATAAACCCCAGCAGCCTGAAGCCAGAGGAAAGAGGAGAGTTTTGTGAATGCCAGCTCTGTGAAGCCCTGAGGAGACTTCCAGCACCAGACACAGATCATCTGGGTTTCCCTCCTCTGGTCACTCAGTGCAATGAGAAGGAAGGAGTACTGATCAGAAAAAAATATCATTCCATATTTTTTCCTCTCATAATCCGGTAGAACAACATCCACATTTCATCCTGGAAGGAGCTGCACTTTGGGGATTCTCGTGTCTGAGACCTAATTTGTAAAGCGCCCAGGGATCCCCGAGGGGAAAAAAGCATTATAGGATCATTATTAAAAGGGACACGTTATATTTCATGTCTCAGTTCCACACAAGTGGAAAAAAAAGGCCAGGAGCAATCTCTGGGATCAGAGGACAAACCTGTGAAATGTAACATGCATCCAGGAAGTGGCAAAACCAGGACATGAGGAATCCCTGCTCTGCCCACTGCTTGGCCACAGCAGTGACACAGAGTAAAGAGCAGCAAAAAGTTTGGTTTGTTTTTAATAAAAGCCACGATCCCTGGTCCCTCTCAGCTGTCCCCTGGGCTGTTTTACAAGTCTGGGGTGGATCCAGCTCTTACAGCATCGGAACACAAAACACAACCTGAGCACAGCCCACCCACAGGGCTGCCTGTGGTCCTGCTGGCTCCTCCACCTGCCACCAGATAATTCAGACAAAAAAAGCTTTTCTTGAGCCTCTCAGCCGTGCTTACACCAGCAGTGTCCCTGCCACAGCCCAGGAAACTCCTTTCAAACCCTCAGCATGTAGGTGGCTGGGTGAGAAGCCATTTCCCAGGGGAATGAGTGAAGGAACCTATTTCAGGTTGAATGCCATGCCTGCCTGTGTGCCACCCACGTGGTGTCACCTGGGGTCACTTCTGTCACACACAGCATTCATCTGCTCAGCCAAGCCCGGGCACCAGCGGGGATGGACCTGCCAGAGCAGCACAACACCCACAGGGAGGGTGTGGAGGGGAGGGGGCAGGAATGCAGACCCTGCTCAGCCACTTCTGTGGGAAGAGACAGGCTGGACCGTGGGCTGGGGCTGCTGCTGCAGCAGGGAACACCCAGCACACCAGCACAGGGGTACATTATGCTTCCCCATCCCAGACACCTGGCACACCAGAGCTGTATCATGTGGAGCTCAGCATGGAGCTTGACCTCCACGGAAACCTGATGGGTTTCCTCCAGTGCTGTTTCAAAATGAGTGCAACTCCCAAGGCCACCAGTCCTGCCCTTCCAATCACAGAATCATGGAATGGTTTGGGTTGGGAGGGACCTTAAAGCTCATCTTGCTCCATGGGCAGGGACCTTCCACTAGAGCTGGTCTTCAGAGTGAAACAGAATAGGTGTAGATTGGATATTGCGAAGGAATTCTTGCCTGTGAGGGTGGGCAGGCCCTGGCACAGGTGCCCAGAGCAGCTGTGGCTGCCCCTGGATCCCTGGAAGTGCCCAAGGCCAGGCTGCATGGGGCTTGGAGCAGCCTGGGATAGGGGAAGGTGTCCCTGCCATGGCACGGGTGGCACTGGGTGGGCACTGAGGTCTCTTCCAACCCAACCCATTCCATGATTGTATGGACAGCACTTGTCCAGTCCATAAAGTACCACAGCTACAGGAACCCACAAAAAAGTACAAGAAACTATCACTGAATTCCTGGGAATAAGAGCAGCACGAGCCTCAGTCCTTGGGGTTCCAGAGGGCTAGGAAGAAGAGAACTTTTCCCAAGTGAAGAGCTTTTCAAAGTGTGGAGAACATGGCAGTACCTGTGTGCTGTGTTCATCCCCCTGGGCGTGGGTGGTGTAGGATCGAGCCCCATTTCTCAAGGTCTCGCTGGCGATGCGCACTTCCACGCCGGGCAGCGGGGTGCCCACGGAACCTGCGGAGGAGAACAGCATGGAAACAGGGCACAGCCTCCAGGAAAGCCCAGAATCAGGGGGGCAAAAGGCTATCAATGGCATCTGCAGGCTGTGCTGGCACTGGAGAACTTCCTAGCGGGGGCTGTCTCTTCAGGAAGGCGTCGATCCCACGAGTGTCAGAACGCTGCCTCCGTTTGCTGGGTAGGCAGTGCTGGGAATGCCTCTGACCACAAACGTGTCTCCAGCCCTGAACTGTCACTCTTGACCACTCTTTGAAGACATCTGCACAACTTCAGAGCTCAGGAATGAATCTGTTTCTTTTTTTCTTTTTTTCTAAAGAAAAAAAAAAGAAAGGCACCACAAAACCTACACAAAGCTGTGAAAAGAGAGAGCCCAGTGATTACTCTGCTCCTCCAGAGCCTGCACCTGACAGGGGAGGCAAAGGCTTAACAGCTGAGAATTGCCAGGGATTATCTCAGTTTTAGGAGACATCAATACACTGGATAGAAAAACATCACAGGAGAAAAGCAGGGATCAAAACCAGCCCGTTCTCGCACAGGCTTCAATTTCAAAGCCAAGGATCTGCCACAGTGTCACAAGGACCACTACTGAGCTCCAAGCTGCGTCTGTGACCTGGAGCTCCCCAGCCTGCAGCTTTCCCACCCCCTGGTTCAGTGCCTGTTCTTCCTGGGGAGCACCTGAGAGCTCAGCAGGGAGGGCAGCTCAGTTCCTGTGACCTGTGGGATGGGCAGCTCCTGCCTCAGCAGTCTCCATGGCACGAGGTAGCTTCTGTGGCAGAATGGGACCTGTGACCTTCATCCCCTGTGAGCAGGGAGTGGGACAGCAGCTCACAGCAACCTGTGGCTCAGCAGGAGTGGACAGGACTGAGTTTCAATTGGAGAAGGACTTTTCACAAGGGCCTGGAGTGCCAGGTCCCACTACCAGATGGAATACCAGGGAGAAATCCTTCCCTGGGAGGGTGGACAGACCCTGACACAGGTGCCCAGAGCAGCTGTGGCTGCCCCTGGATCCCTGGAAGTGTCCAAGGCCAGGCTGGACTGGGCTTGGAGCAGCCTGGGACAGGTGGGAGCAGTGGGAGGTGTCCCTGCCCATAGCAGGGGGTGGAATGAGATGAGGTTTAAGATCCCTTCCCAACCAAACCATTCCGTGATTCTATAAATTGCTAACTGTGCTCTTTATTCTGAAAGATGATCAATTTTTTTTCCCCTGAAGCACCTCCAGTTGATGCTTCCCAGGTCTGCCAGCGTCATCTTGACACTGGGAATTCCCTAGAGCAGGGAGAGCAGGACCTGGAGCTCAGCCCTGTCTTCCTCTTGTCACTCGTATTTCAGGCATTTGGGTTCAAGTGGCATTTTCCCTGTGCTGGTCTCATTCTCCTGCTGAAGCCCTGGAGATCTGCTATCCGTGACATCATGATTTTGTCTGCTACATTGGTCAGTTGCCATGGAAATGGATGTGTCGTCGTAGCCCAGATTTATGGCATCCCTGCAGGATCAGCCAAGAGCAGATGGGCTATGAGGGAGTGAGATTTTATTGCAGTGAAACTACCCCCGAACAATTAGGAAATCTGGCTGGAAATAAACACAAAGCGACGTGGCAGCTCTGTGATCCGTGTCTGCTCTGCTCAGAATTGCCTTTGGCATCCTGGTCAGCCAGAACAGGCACGTCCTCTCCTCACCACCAGCACCCCTGGGCTGCTCCCACCTCCAGGCCAGACACTGCCAGGACTCCGAGGGTTGCAGCAGGGGAGGGAGGGAGCCACGAGCCAGAAGTGCCCTGAGGTACCATGTCGAGGTATTTATGGAATCAGAGAATCACAGAAGTTGGATCCCACAAGGATCATCAAGTCCAGCTCCTGGCTCTGCACAGGACAACCCTAAAAATCACACCATATGTGTTATAAACAATCTTGCACCTGCCATGGGAGGCTCCAAGAGGCCTCAAAGCAAGTAACAAGTCACAGAAAACACCCTCAGTGTTGCTTGGAAGGTTGCTGGAGCCACCTTCTCGACTTCTGTGGGAAAGGTTTCTCCAGGGTGAAAAACTGTGTGTGAACAGACTCCAATCTGCCCACAAAACATGGCATGTCTGTGGGCAGGCACCACAAAATCAGTCCTGGAAAGCTCGTGGAGGGAGCAGAAAGCAATGCAAGGAGCTGCCAGGGGCTCTCACAGACTTGGAATTTTTCAAATCAAGAGCAGCCAGATGCCTTTCTGGAAGATGCTTCTTCCCTGGATGCAAGCTGCTGACCTCAGCATGGAAATGGGCAGTGATTCATGGGCAGAAGGACTGCAGGATTAATGCCCACTGCTGGTCCCAGCCCCTGGGAATGAGACACCAAAGATCAGCACAGTGCTGGCACATCTGAAGGCACAGAAGAGGTGCTGACGTGTTCCCCACAGAGATTTGCAGATCACAGTTACTAGCACAGCCCCACCAATTCCTCTCCTACTTGGCTAAAATAAAACCAGCATGTAAAACAAGTCCCTGGTGGAGAGCTGCTTCCTTATGTTTCTGTCTGGAGAAGCTTTTCTGGTATTTAGGAAAAGTGACAAACTTTGAAATCAACATCTGTAAAGGCTGAAAAAGCTCCTACAATTGATTAGAGCTCCACAAACCTGACAGGATTAATAGAATTTGTGCAAAAAACAATGACTAGAGCTTCCTTCCACCGTGTCAAAATATACCCTGTGCCAATTCCAAGAGGTCAGCAGAAATTTGGGCCCATTCCCAAAGGAACGGCCCGGGAGGTCCTGCCTTCATCAAGCCACAATTGGGGTGATCAGAAGGGGTCAACACTCTGCACTGGCTTCCTTTTGTCCCCAGCCATAATCCTGAGGGGAAACTGGGGAGAAATCCCTGCTCCTTCCCCTCTGCATCCCTCCAATTTGCAGCCTCCTGGATGTTAAGCGACGCTGGCACCTCGCCCGCGGTGTCACCGGGCTGCAGGCACGAGGGGGTGACACCGTTCTGCTTTCACCCGCTCTCCTCTGTTTAAAAAAGTTGTCAGCTCTTCCCAGATAAATTTAATTGGCCCCGTGCTCTGTGTCCTTCGGTATCTGGGTAGCTCGGTGCTGCTCCGTGCCGCGGTGTCCCGGGAGGATTGGAACAGGCCAACGATAAGGCACTCAAGGATCTCACTGTCAACAATACACGGAGTCCCCGCTGTAGCAGCTATTAGCTGCCTCTGATCTAAACCTCCAATTAAAGTGGTGATTAGGCCCAGTGAGGCATTCTCCGGCCATGAATTATTCATCTCCCTTCACAGTAACAGCACCAGGGGGGATTAGAATGAGAGCTGGTGAAAACAGAGGCATTTTAAGCAGGGTTTTAACCATATACAAGCAAACATTTATCTTTCAAATCTTTCATCTTTGCTGCTTCTGGAAATGAAAGCTCCCACACGCCTGTCCCTGCCACTTCAGACAGTGCTGTGGGTGAAGAGTGGGGACACACTGCTGGTGACACCGGTGGGGACACGGGCAGGACAGGCAGGTCCAGGGACTTGACCTTTCTCCTGCCACACCGAGTGCCTGGAAGAGGGCGAGGGAAGCGCCAGGATCTCTCCTCAGAGGCTCATGAATCACAGAATGGTTGGGAAGGGACCTTAAAGCTCATTCCATTTCCACCCTTGCAACGGGCAGGGGCAGGGACACCTTCCCCTCTCCCAGGTGCTTCAAGCACCATCCAACCTGACCTTGGACACTTCCAGGGATCCAGGGGCAGCCACAGCTTCTCTGGGCACCTCTGCCAGGGCCTCACCTCCCTCACAGCCAAGAATTTCTTACTAATATCTAATCTAAACCTAAAGTTAATTGTGAAGCCATTCCCCCTTGTCCTGTCACTCCAGGCCGTTGCCCAAAGTCCCACTCCATCTTCCTTGGAGGCCCCTTCAGGAACTGCAAAGCCACAATTAGGTCACGTTCTCTTCTCCAGGCTGAACAATCCCAATTCTCTCAGCAGAGGTGCTCCAACCCTCTGATCATCCTGGTGCCTCCTCTGGGCTCACTCCAGCAGGTCAAAGCAGTAGAGAAGGATGTGTGCTGCTCCTAATCCTGGAGAAATCCTCTGGCAGATGTCCCAGCCCACCATCAGCTGACTCTGAGATCTCTGTGGTACCTGGTGACCTCCTACCCAGCCTCTAACAGGGCACTGGATCAAAAGCTTTTTCACAGCTCCAGCAAATTATGCCTCAGCTTCACCCATCTGCTTCCCAGCTGACACTTCCTGAAATAAATTAATCAAGCCGATTCAATTATAGCCTCCTTTCTGTACAGTTTCTTGCTGATCCCCACCTTCATGAGACACTTCTCTCCCCCTCAGGGCTGCCTGAGCCCCTGGATGGGGCTGGAGTGACAGTCCCCAGCCCCTGTGCTTTGGCTGCACAAGGGGATTTGTCCCTGCAGCCCAGGATCCATTGGGATGATGCCTCAGCAGCACGGCCCCCAGCTCTGGGGCAGGAGCTGCCCTTCTGGGTGCCAGCCTCTGCACTGCCACGCTGCTTCCAGTCTTATTCCTCTTCTCTTTTAGTCCCCTGGGAAATTTCTGGAGTCTCCACTCCTTTTTCCTCATGAAAATCAATAGGAAGCAAATATAGGAAGGCCACAGGGCCAGTGAAATGATCCCTGCCCTGTCACCCTGGGGTGTGGGGCTCACACAGCTCGAGCTCCTGCAGATGGGAGTCTTGTTTTTCCTGCCTGCTTCCCTCTCCTGCCTTCAGGGATGGGGCTGCTGGAGGAAGATAAAACTGGCTGAGGTGGGGTGAGGGAATGACAGTTACCCTGCAAAAGTAAAACAGAGTTTGTGTTTCAAGCTGTTCTCAGGCTGAGGAGTCAACGAGGGGGAGTTTTGGCTTCTCCTCTCCCTGTGCGACCCCCACGAGACCCAGCTCCTGCATCCCATGGGATTGGGGTGCTGTGGGAAGCTGTGACACCCAGGACCCCCCCTGGGGTAACACCAGTTCCCCAGGAGGCTGCATATGGTGCCATGCCTGCAGAGACAGCCTGTGGGGAGGCAGGTGGCACAGGGTGGGCACACAGATGGCCACGCTCCAACCACAGGGAGAGTGGGGGCATTTTGTATTTGCAATGTCTCAGATCAATTTATTTCTAGGTTCTAGAAAGTACAGCTATGGAGAGGAATCACAGAGTGTAGCTCAGAGAAGGGGGGGAAGACAAGGAGAGAACAGGCCCAGAGTGTACAGGGAGGTGTGACAATTTTGAATTCCTGAAGAGGCAAGAAACAGGCACTAAAATAAGAGTGAGCAGACGTCCTATTTTAAGTGTTCAGCACTGATGGGTTGGACAAGCACTGCTGTGTGGAGAATCCTGTGTGACACCACCCAGAAACACAACTCAAGGCAGCAGGAGCTGAAGAAACACTCCTTCAATTCACGAAGATTTTGGAAGTAATAAAGCATCAGCCTGGAGCGTGCCAGCCTGGTCAGGCCAGCGGGCACCACTGCCAGCTCTGCACAGACAGCTTTGATCCCTGGGAAACCCAGCAGCCACTCCCCACACATCCATGTCCTGGCTTCCCAGTGCCAATTCCCAGCATCCTCGTTCCTGCTGTGGCCTCTCCTCACTCACGTGCAGAGAACACCCCAGACCACGGCACCCTCTGGAGACTCCTACCTGGGACACGGACTCCATGCAAAGGGTTAGAAAGCGCCATCCCAATCTCAGTCATCCCATACCTCTCCAGCAAGGTGTGCCCCGTGATGCTCTTCCACTTCTCCAAGACAGGCACAGGCAGGGCTGCTGAGCCTGACACCATTAACCTGCACAGGGAAAGCCCAGGTAAGACAGTATCCAACAGCACCTTTGCTCCAGGGAATTTGCAGCCTCACACAGGGGCACAAAAACCCCTATGTAAAACCTGCAGCTCCAAAATCCTCACATCACAATCTGTCCCTCACATTCTCAGGGTGATATGGGGCTTAAGTTAACCAGGACAGTCTCTAAAAAGAGATCCTGGAATACAAGCCTGGGCTGCAGGACAAAGTCCTCAGGGTGACACACAACGAGCCCCTTCTGGCTTTGCCATGCAAGAGTGGCTCATAATTAAATAATGTCACCCTTGTTCCTGTCAAAGAGACACCAAAGCACAACAACCAGTACTGAAAGAGGTGATGTTGAAAGGAAAACCTGGAGCATCCAGTGAGCCAGCAGCAGCTCTACCCACAGCTCACTCACCTGATGTTGTCCTGGCAAAAGGCATGCACAAAATCCTGCACCTGGGGCTGGCTGAAATGCTCGTCATAATATTCCATCAGCTTGGCATAGATAGTGGGCACTGCCATGAACACACTGACACGGGGAGCTTGGGAGCTCAGGAGCTTCTTCCACACCTAGGAAGGAAGGAAGGGAACACACGTGGATGAAAATACACCTTTGCTATCTAAGATTTCTTTGGAAGTACAGCAGGAAGCTGTTGTGTGCCCCTCGTCCCTGTCCAAAACAAGTTCCCAACTTTCATCACGCCCTCATTTCCCAAGGCACAGCGTTCATCTCTCATCCCACCAGTGGATCCATCATCCCACCATCACTCATGAGATGATGGAAATGGCATTTTTCAGTCCTGTCACACTGCAGCCAAGAATTTGCTCATGAAGATGGAAGTTTGTGGCAGAATCAGTTCATTCCCTTATCAGGCACAGCTCTTCAAAGGCTGCACAAAGCCTCCAGTTTCCCAAAGCACAGGAGCTCTTCTTTGGAAAGGCACAGCCCACACCTGATACACAATACACAGCTTGGAGCTCAAGGGCTTCAGCCTCTGAGGCAAAGCTGGGAAGAGGGAGATGAGGCACTGGGAGTGAGACTTCATGAGAACGGTGAGGTGCAGAGAGCCGTGTCCCTGGCGAGCTCAGAGAAGCCATCAGAATCCACAGGTAAAGCAGTGGCAGCAGGAGACAACAGCTTTTGGGGAGGGCCACTACCCCAGCCACACTCTTCTTGAGTGGAATATTCCCTGTGGGAATAAAGTTCTCCAGCTGCAACTCCTGCTGACCTGTGGGAACTACGAACGGGTGCCAATTCCAGCAGCCAGCTCTGCCGGGATGTGGACAACGACACCTCCGGGATGCGCAGCCAGCCACGGGTCAGAGCCACAAATGTCACAGCTGAGATTGCTCCCACACCTCACCACTCTCCCTGCAGGTAAGCTCTTCCCAAGGCAGGAGTGATCCAAAGCCATCAATAAATCAGAGCCCCGCTGACGGCGCCTCTGTCCCCGCGCTCCAGTCCCTGCCCCGCCGGTGACAAATGTATTCCCTAACAGCTCCTGACACGAGCGCTGCCTCGGCGCTCCCCACACACGCTCAGCTGCACACGAGCCAGGCAAGGCAGGGATTGATTGAAGGTGAGCCAGGGATTCTCCTTCATGCTGTCACTCTGCCCCTTCTCTCCGTTCTGCTCGCTCGGGCTCCGTTTCATCCCTTTCTCCTTGGCTGCATCTCGCACTCTCCGCTGCTCCAGAACAATCAGCTCCTAAAAAAACCCTCCCAGCACCGGGTGGTTGTTGTTAACAGAGCAGGACACGGCCACAGAGGCACCGTGGCACCCAACGGGAGGGAGCTCACGCTGCCTCCCAGCCCTTGGTGAGGAGAGATGAATGCACAAGGTGCAAACCCACTGGACAGCCCGGGAGATGGGACATGAGCACTGCAAAATCCCCTGGGAAGGGAAAGCAGAACTGGAATGTGACTTCTTGCACTGATGGGTGATACGTCCAGAAAGGGAACACTTCACTCCCTGCAGAAACCCACCTTACCAGCCAGATTAGGTCAAAATCCCATTTAGAGGGGTCTAACCTCCCCATGCTCCTCCCAGTCCCTTTTCCCCCCAGTTTCTTTCCCATTCTAGGCAGCAGGGTGGAGAAGGATCTCTCCAAAGTCCTGGCTGAGTGGATCTGCTCTCCTCAGCCTGGTGGGCAGGGAAGGACGCGTGATGGCAAGCAGGGATCAGGGCTGTGCCGAGGGGATTGAAGGGAAACAGATGCTCAGGGGCTGTTCAATCCTTGCTGTGTGATTTTGTTTTGCCTTCCCAAGTCCCTAGCAGCTGTGGGAGCGCAGGCAGACTTCCAGTCTGGCCATGCAGCAGAGTTTTTGTCACATGACTTTGGATCTGAAAAACCCCAAATCCATCTAAACAGAGCAAGCCTCTCTTGCACCCCAGAGTCCCCTGTCCCCACGTGCCAGTTCAGCTCCTGCCTCAGATAAAATCCTCCCTCCTGCACTGCGGCCACAGGAGCAGCTTTTTCCGTGTCAGTCCAGCTCACCCAGCAACAGCCCCTTCCTGAGGATAAGCAGCTGCCTTTGGATTTGTGCCACCAGCTGCTGGGGTGATCTGCTGACAGCCAAACCTCTCCACCTGTTCTGCTCCTGCTCAGCCAAATCTGGATCCTTCCCATGTGTTTCAGCAGGACTAAGCCGTGGTACAAAGCTGGCAGCCCTGAGCCCAAGCTGGCCAGAGGGCTTGGCACTGTCCAGCCAGCTGGAACAGCTATTCCTGGCTTCTAACTGTAACTTCACAGTTGAGAGAAGGATCTGGGAAAGTCTCATTACCTGGGATTAATCAATCAATCAATCAATCAATCCCGTGCAAGGCACCAGCTTTGTCCTTGCAGCACCCAGCATCTCCTGACAGCGCCAGGTTTGGAGCAGCACAATCCATCTCCCCCTGGGTTATCCCACTGTCACCATCACCACGTTAGCTCCCCGTGCACAGAGCACTGGCAGCCCAACATTCCGCTTTGTTTTGCTCTCCTGATACCTCCAAGTGCTTTTAAAAAGCCATGGATTGGGGAAGCGAACACAGCACCGTGTGCCAGGGCTGCCAGGCTCTGCAAAGAGGGGAAGCAGCAGCCTTCCAATGGAATATGCTCAGGAGATGGATCAAGATTCCTTTTAAGACAACCAAGGGCTAGAAACAAAAAGTTTCTCACTGCAAGAAAGCAAGAGTTGGAACAGCTTCCCACCAGCAATACCAGCAGTGAATGCTTTGGGTCAGGGCTGCCTGTGCCAGCAGGGAAGTGGGAGACCCAATGTTCCCAAGAGCCTTCCTGTCAGCATGACATTCCTGATTTTCCTCCCCTCCCACTGCTCAAAAGCATATCATGAGCTGGCCAGTGGGATTTTGCCATCATTAAAGGAAAAAAAAAAGGAGAAAGTGACACCAGTGGGTACAAAACAAGTGCAGCAAGGCACAGCTGGGAGATTTTTCCCACGTATTTTTCCCAGCACGCAGATGGTGAATGAGGAACATAAAAGCTGCTCCAAGGGGTGGTCAGTCCATACAGCAACCTTCCCAACCAGCCTCCAGACCTGCTAAGATCGCCTGAAGGAGGACATGTGAGCACAGAGGAGGAAAGGCAACAGCTTTTCCCTTTGGAGAGGGAGATGTGCAATGCCATGAACCAGCCAGAAACACCAAACCCGATGTCTGGGCATCTTCTCATGCAAAAGGAGAAGAAATGGTGGCAAACCCAGTTCTGTGCGAAACCATGTAAGATTTTGGCCGATAGAAGGTTCCCAAAACCAGCCAGAAGAACTACAAGTTGTAAAGGAAGCAAATATCAGCATGGATTTTTCCATCAGCTCACAAACAGATCTCAGCCAGCCCGCGGTGCAGCCTCTACTGACAGACACAACAGCTCCTCTCTTCCATAAAATTATTGTGCCATTTTCAGTTGTAATTGAATCTTTTCAAACCTTTTCAAAACCAACAATGCCTCTAAAGCAAGGTTAACTCAGCCCTTTACTTCCCTCTTGCTCGGGGAGATGGGTCTGTGCTTAGCACTGACTGCTGCTGTGTGGGAAGCACCATTGAGGAAAAGGGATGCTGGTGATTTTTGGAATGTCTGTGGGAGCAACAGGGATGTGGCCAAGCCAGCTGCTTGTTTGGTGAGATCCTGTGCCAAACACAAGGGTGGGAAGCTCCTGTAACTCAACAGCAGCAGCGAGGGGGCTGCAGGACCATGCACACACATCCAACACCGAATTATCCTAAAAAAGCAGATGGGCACAAGAGACAGGAGAGCATCAAGGGGAGCTCTGCTCTCTCCCAAGGACTGAGCCTCCAGCACTTCATGACCAATATGCACAGAGAGAAACATTCCTCTCTTCAAAGGGAAATCAGGCCCTCGGTGGCTTCGTCTCATGTTTGTTATAACCCCAAACTGTTTGCGCTCTGTGCGACTCTGGTTTTAATCATTTATTCATCAGCACAGTTTGATGGCCCCTCTGCATTCCAGGCTGAAGCTTTAAAACCCTTCCTATGCTGGAGGCATACTGAAAGGAGCAAGTGCTTTCCCTGGGACCTGGAAATATAAGTAAATATGACAGGCTCTGGTTCCATTTTTTATATTTCCCCACACACATCAAAAGCCATTACTTGGGAACAGATGCTGAGGACAGACGGCAGATCTGGGGAGATGGGGAAGAAAACCTCTAACTTTTTAAAGCCAGGTCTGTGAGAAGTGATCAAACATAATCCATTCACCAGTGACCTGCTCCTCCCTCCACCAACTCCTCTTTGAGTCTGAAATAAAATTACTTCTCTGAAGCCTCCCATTAACAGATGAAAAGACTTTCAAGCTCTCTCCAGCTGAAACTGGATGGGGGCCGTGATCCCCAGCATGCCTGGATATTGGAGCTCAGGCTCCTCTGCTCGGATTTGCTTTTCTTTTAAAAATAAACCAAAAGAGCTGCCCAGAGTGATGTTTGCAGAAGTGACAGATCCAGGGGAGAGGCTCAGTGCAGTGCACGTTTCTCCTTCCCTGAGGGAACTGCCGAGCCCTGGCTCTCCCTGCGCAGCCCAGCCAAGGTAGACAGCCCCTGCACCCAGCCCAGCCTGGCTCACACAGAGAACATCAGTGACAAGGACAAAGTTTGCTCCCAGATACAGCACTGGCACTCCTGGCCTTCAGGAATTCAGGGCTGTGAGCACACGATGCAGCCTCACCCCAGAGCAACACCTCCCACTCATCCTGTGCCAGGTCTGCAGCTCCCTCGTACCACGGGGAAATGGTGCCACGGGGGACAGAACTGCAGGGAAAGCTTGTCCCGGATCACACACCACCTCTGGGCACACAGCATTCCTATTTCCCTAAAAAGAAGAGTCCAAACAAGATGATTTTGATGGCTTTGAGTGTGACATTGTAAAACAGGGCATGGTTTTTAGAGGGCTTGCTCCTCGGAGCACCTTAAGTCAGACACGCAGCGAGGCTGGCACTGAAACAGCAGCTCCTGGAACTGCAGGGCAGGAAATCTGCATCTTGGCATGTTTATCATGGAAGGGGTTGCAGGGCACAGCCAGGGCTGTCACTGCACAGGCAGCACATCACAGCTCAAACCTGCCCAGCAGAGCTGAGCGGGCAGCACACGCCACAACTGGGGCACCCGGAGCGGAGATTTCCATCAGCTTCTCCCATCACTCAGCACAGCAGTTTCCTCCTTCAGGTTTTACAGTACTCTTATTTCCCACTCTGCACTGGAAGCTGGAAAACCTCCCAGGATCTGCTCTCGTGTTTATCACTGCAGAGAGCTGGCAGGGAACCTTTTGCCATTAGAACATCTTGCCCTCAAGGCATGATCAGGGGTGCCCAAGGCAAAGACAAGCTCTTCCTGCCCAAAATGGATCCTCTTTGCCCAAAAACCACAGCACAGGATCCTGTAAACCAGACACTGACCTCACAATTTGCTCCAAAAAGGTCCTGTCCAAGGAGTGCCTGGTCTGGAATGGGGACATCAGTGGTGACTGTCACAGCAAGCACAGGGGACACTTGGCTGCCCTGGGTCTGTCTCCACACTTACTGACACACCACAGGCTGTGCCTGAACTGATGCAGGGACTCACTGGGAATGGATGCTCCAGAGGGTGCTTGGTGCAAGGCCTGATGCTCAGAGCCTTCAAAAAGCACTTGGCTAGGAGGAGAAGGCTCACCCTGCACTCCTTCCTTATCAGAGACATTCACTTCTTCTCTTCTGGTCACTAAAATGCACAAAATTCGTACAAACACAGCACTTATAAAATCCCTACTCCTGAACAAGAAATTCCTACTCCAGCATCTGGGACAGGTCAGCAGCATCTGAAAAATGCAAAGAGGAACAGAGCAGCTGAGAGAATAAACTCAGCTTGGGAGCAGGTTACAGAGGGAGGATCCTACAGGGATGCTGAGGCTGCAGCTTGCTCTGGCTCCAGAGGAGGTTTCTGCCCTCCCACTTCTCACCCTTGAAAACCAATAAAACAATAAACCAGTAACACCACAGCCAGCCATGGCAGAACACCCCTCGGGTCCACTGCTGCTCTCCTGCCTGCTCCATTCCCACCTGTGCTGAGAAGTCTCCCCCACCAGCCATCCCTGCCATTTCCAATCCCAGAAGCACAGACAGGAGATGCTGCTGCCATGGGCTCCCTGTGAAGACACTGCACCCCAAGGAGCACAGGCACCAGAGGACTCGGTACATTACGTATGAGTTGACTAATTCTGGAAACTAAGGGTCCATTTATAAACCCTTTATTAATAAATGATTAATAGATGCAGCCATATTTTTTAATAACTTGCAATAAAAAAATGCTACGAAAAGCTTAAGCAAGACAGTCTTAACAGATGGTGCTATAAAGTGAATTATAACATGTACAGTAGCTAGTGCAGCGTAATGGATGTCCTCATTTAATAAAAAGAATCTGATTTTATGCAGCAACTTTCACGCTTGAGGCACCTCAGCACACTTTAATGAGTCCTCGTGGCCTCAGCAGTAGCCACAGACATCAGATGCTGTTCTAGTGAGAGGAAGGATGTTGGTCAGGACACCAGGGCTACTCCACAGTCCTGATTTTTAACCTTGCCTTGGACAGCTCCCAAAAACAGACGTAAAAGTCTGAAAGCTGCCACCTCCTACCCCTGCACGGCGGGGAGCAACAAGCAAGCCATGGTCTGGGGCTGGGAATGTCTTCTCAGGGGAAAAAAAAAGAAAAAAAAGAGCATTATTCCCACCACCAAAACCAGACTGCCATCTGTATCCACGACTATAAGGCACGCCGCAAATTATGTAATTTAATAAACACTGTAATAATAAAGTATTTATTTTGTATAATGAAGTGTTAGTGATTAGAAACCAAACACACATCGGGCGTGCTGCTGCGGTTTCTCTTGAACCTTTGCCAGTATCACTCAAGGCTAAATATGTCTGCAGCAGGTTGAGAGTAAGTTCCTTGCCTTGTTTTGATCAGCCTGTCAAGTGTTTTAGCTGCCAGTCGAGTTTCTTTATATCACACTATAATTGGCTGCTTTCTCAAGGTGCAGCCAAGGAAAAAAAGCACACGGCAAAACTCAGGCTCCTTTGGCAAAATCCTCCAGTGCTGCTTTGCTGCAAGCTGATTTCAGTAGCAAAGGGCACTTTGTAAACAGCTGGTGAAAATAGAGTGGAACTGAAAGGCAGCTTGCAATAAACTCCAGGAGAAAGCCTTATTTACCCTCCCGTGCTCGCTTTGGAGTGTCGATCAAACCACTTGCAGCTCCCAGGGGAGGCCCTTGGAAAAATAACGGGAATAAAAGAAAGGGGAGAAGCAAATGCCATCCGTGCACCTGAGAGCCCTGCCCGGAGCCCTGCCAGCCCTGCCCAAGCTCCAGGGTCACACCCTGAGAGCCCTGCCCGGTGGCACATCTGGAAACAGCTGTGATCACAGCAGCCACGAGGAGGGGGGTCCCGCTCCCCCCATCCCTCAACGTCAGCTCATCGATTCGCAGATGTGGGGAGAGAGCAGAGGAAAACGCAAGGCTACGAGGGAGCATCAATCACTGGTGGCACAGGATGTGGAGCACCGCGCCCTCCAGAGGCTCTGCTCCATCCTCAGCGCCGGCCCCGCCTCTCAGCGGCACCTCCAGCGCTGCTCTGGCTGCACCCCTAAAGTCGGGGAGGACAATTTGGCACCTATCATCGGTGTGAAAGCACAGGCTGTGGCAGCCAGGGCTCTTCCTGCCTTCTACCACAGCATCCTAGCAATTTACTCTGAATGCAGAGCTGCTCTGCTGGGATTCCGGGGCTGTCCCCCCAGAAAGGATCAGTGCTCAGGTGTCAGAGCCATCCTGACAGAAGAAGGAAGTGTGCATTTTCTGTGGCTGCTGCTCTGAGAAGCAGAAATGAGCCATGAAGAATCACCCGGTCAGAGCTGGGCCCACCCTCGCCTGGCAGCAGCACAGCCAGAGGCTCCAGGTGTGTCCCACACCTGTGCACTTTGTCCTTTCCACGGCACAAGCCTTCCCAGCATGTGGATAAACACAGACAGGGAGAGCAGCCCGGCCACTTACCCAGCACAAGCTCCTTTGGCTTTCCCAGGGAGCTCTGCAGTGACAGCACACTCGTGCTCTGAGCGACAGCAGCACCTGAAAACCCAACTGTCCCCTCACAGTGACACTGCAGCCACCACCCAGGACACTGGGAGATGTGGATGGACACACCCTGCATCCCAGGGGATGTAGAACCTGCTCCACCTTTAGTGCTGCCTGTCCCTTTCCTTCCCCCCTTTCCACAGTGTGCCGCTGCCGCAGGGAACAAAGAGAAGCAGAACACTGGCACTGGTGTTTCCTGGCTCAGATAGAAAACAACATTAAAAGAGCATCATTCCAGTAAGGTTTCCCTCCTGCCACTTTTCTTAAAAGCTGCAAGAAGGTCTGGTTCTGCAAACTCTCTCTCACATCACTGAGTCCAACCCAGCTCTGTTAACTCTTGTTTTTCCACAGAGGAAGAACCATCTTTCCACGTAAGAGAGGAAAACCAGGCTTCCCTTACCTGGGCTGCAAAAAACTCCAAAGGCTGTGTTCTGTCATGTAATGCAATATGAAACACTAAGGATGAAGGTCTGGAAGGGGAAAATTTGGAAGGGGCTGCCCAGGGAGGTGGTGGAGCCCTTGGCCCTGGAGATGTCCAAGGAATGACTGGATGTGGCACTCAGTACTCTGGGCTGGGTGACAAAGTGGGGATTGGCCACAGGGTGGACTTGGTGACCTTGGAGGTCTTTTCCAGCCTCAGTGTTTTGGGGATTCTGGGAAATGCAAATCACTAAAAAATTCAGCAAGCAGCACACCACTAACACACGAGAGAAAATCCAGTATTTCCACCTTTCTTGGCACTAAAATATAAAAATCCACAACCCTAATTCTGGATGGAAATGCTCTTGGAGGGCACGTAGAAGGGTCCACACACCCCCAGCCAGACCCCAGAGCAGGGCTGGGAGGGCAATGCAGCATCAACATTCCAACATCACATGAGCTGCACCCTCTGGAAGAGCACATTTACCCTGGGCTGAGCACCCAACCAACCCACTTTGCTGTCAACCACACACAGCCAGCGGCTAAAGGGGCTGGAATTCTTTAGGAATTTGTTCCCAGAGTTGCTCTGAGTGCAATGCCCGGGGTCCTGCTGTTTGTTTTCCCTCTGGGCTCACCAGCTCAGCGCTGAATTCCGGGAACATGATGCAGGTGGCTCCCACCCACAGCGGGCACAGCAGCTTATTGATCACCCCGTGGACATGGTGCAGAGGCAGCACGTGCAGGATCACATCCTCCTTCTTCCACTCCCACTTCTCAACCAGCCCTGTGGTCTGCAGAGGAAAACAAACAGCACGGCCTTAGGGCACAGAGAAAGATCCTCCCGAGGTATTCCCGAGTTCATCAGCCCCCAAATCCCCTGGCAGGAATTCCAGGCCTATCTGGGCACAAAATCATTCCCTTAGGATCAGCAGAACAGCAGAACACAGGAGGAATACCTTCAGCATCCTGTCAGGATTCGTCTTTAAATCAGCAAAGCCCTTCCTTGTTCCTGAGAAATACCAACAATGATTTTAAGTAGGACATACAAAAATATTAATCTGCTGCTGCACATGCAGATTTGGCAGAAACAGTAATCAAAAAGCTAATTTTCCCAGAATTCTGTTGCCATAGTTAGGACACTGATGACATCAGGCTTTTAGCACCTGTAAGGGATAATCAGTAGGAGCAGGAAATCGCTGATAAATAGAAAGCAGGTTTTATGTTAGTAAAAATTATGGGAGTATCAAGCTTCCAAAACACTCTGCTCTGAAGGGATAATTATCTGAAGGGATAATTATCAGGTTTCTGGGTCAACAATGCCCTTCAGAGCCCAGTGCTGGCAACTGCAAAGCTTATTTCCAGCCACCTAAAAATAAGAAAAGCATCTGAACAGAGGAATTTGGTCATGTCCCTCACAACCCTCTTCCACAGGGCAGGGAGCAGCTTTTGGGATTCCTGCAGGACAGCACAAAGGATGGGGACTGCTCAGGCCACCCCCCAAATAATCAGCATGTTTGTAAGGGAACAGATTCTTTGCCCAATATAGCCAAGCCCTGGCTCCATCCATCAAGGCTTTCATTCCTGTTGGGACGCTGCGGGATCCGAGCACCCGGAGCAGTGGCAGCTCTCGGAGGCATCCCTGCATTCCCTGCCCTCCTTCCCTAATGGCAGCAGTCTGGCAGTTGCAGGCACTGATAACCAAGTGGTGAGGTAGTCAGCAGGCTTACTCAAACTTTTAATTCCTTTTGGCTCCGAGAGCTAATGGATTTTTTTGCCTTGGGGATACAGAGCTGAATAATGCACAGGCTTCACACAGCACTGGGCTGGGCTGAGATATTTTCCAATTAGGAGCAAAGATTCTCTCCTAGTCAGAGGGTAGAAAAGCAAACTGCAAAGAAATCAGGTTTTTTACAAGAGGTTTCATCCCTTCTGCTTTCCAGGAAAGAGGAGAATCCACCTGCCTCGGGATGCAGCTGCAGCATGAACAGGCCAAGATTTAGAACACACGCTGCTGTGTGTTCACCTTCCAAACGTGGGGGACCCTGGAGCTGCAGCCCCACAGCTCTCTGCAGGAATTTGGCAGTGGAAAGGTGTTTGCAAACCCAAATCCCCTCCAGATTCCAAGACTCTGTACCTTGGCACAAGTTTAGAGGGGGGGGACAGCAGCACTCACCACAGCCTGCACGTTCTGGTGGGTGCTGAGGACACCCTTGGGCCTCCCTGTTGTCCCGCTGGTGTAGATGATCATGGCTCCTCTGTCCTTCCACGAGGAACAGCTTGGCAAGGGCCCCTCCTGTGTGGCTGCAGAGCTCGTGGATCCATCACCACCAGACCTGGGAAGTGGCAGCACAGGGACTCCCAGTTTCTTGGCACTGGGGGTTATTTTCCCCACGAATTCCTCAGCTGCGATGAGCAGGGCGCTCTGGGAATCCTGGATCACGTATTCCAGCTCGGGCACGGGGTGTTTCCTGTACAGGGGCACCGCTATAGCCCCGCTCATCCACGAAGCCCACTGGGCCACCACGTAGGAGGCATCATTGGGGCACAGAAAGGAGATCCTCTCTTCCTTCAGGTCCCTGCTGGGGCACTCCAGGAGCCTGCAGATCTCCTGGGATAAGCGGAGGCTGTGGCTGAGCAGGTCCCTGTACGTGTGCTCCCCGTTCTGGTCAATGATGGCCACTTTGTCCCCAAAAGCCGGAGCCCTGGTGAACACAGGGGTGATGTCACTGCTGCAGGTGGCCCAGGCTGTGTGCAGAGCCCTGTGGGGACAGCCAGCCCTCTTCCCATCCCATCTGCAGCGGGACAGGTCCCGGAGGAGGCAGCGGAGGGGCCGGCACGCCTGGGGGAAGAGCAGGGGGAGCAGCATCCCGCCAGCACGGCCGGGCTGAAGCGATTCTGCAGAAAGCAATGATGGGAACACATCAACAGAGGCAGGGATCACCCAGGGGGTTATTCCCACACAGGAAAAGTGGCAGCCCTCATTTGAATAATACCCACTGTATTATTTATGTCCCTGCCTCAGAGTGCCACATCCTGGGCAGCCTGAGCATCCCTGGGTCCTGCCACAATGGAGCAGGAGGCAGAGACCCTTCCCTGCACAGCCTCCGATCCCTAAAATCCAGCTAATTGCAATGATGAACCAGCTTCCATAGAATCCCAGCATGGTTTGTGTTGGAAGGGACCTCAAAGGCCATCCAGCTCCACCCCCTGCCATGGGCAGCGACACCTTCCAATGTCCCCTGGCAGGCAGAGGGTGAAACGAGATGGGCTTTAAGGTCCTTTCCAAGCCAAACCATTCCACGATTCTGTGAAGAATCCTAAACCCCTCTGCAGAGCCTGGAGCACCCTCTCCATACAGCAACGGGGAGCAGAGAGGAGAGGACAGGGCTGTGGCAGGAGAGAGGGATTTGCTGCACAGAATCCAATCAGCACCAAACCATCCCCAGAGAGATTCCATGACAAGAGGAAGCAGCCAAAGGATGACAAGCTCTCACTCTGCGAGAGCGTCCGTGACACTTCCTTGACGCTGGCAATAACAACCTGATTTTTCCCATTTTTTTTTGATAAATGCCTATTAGTGGAGCAGCTCAGCTCCAAGAGCCTCCCAGCCCAGCTTCCCACTGTGGGGAGGAGCTGGAACAAAGGGGATCCAGCCCAGCAGCTCCCCAGGGAAGAGCTGGCCAGGGCTGCCCTCAGCTCAGGCTGCACAAGAGTTTATTTTCCGTGAACGCTGCGGTCTCTCCCCTCCACCTTCAAAGCATTTCCCCACCCAGACACTGGCCCTGCTCAGATTTTCTTTTGCAAATCAACCTCGATTTCTGCTTCTGCAAAACAAGCTTGTGATTTAGGGTGGAAACATCTGGGGGAGCAGAGAGGTTTCAGCCCCAGAGCGGGGTGACCGTGGGAACTCCTGACATTTGCCACCAGCATGGAAAAAAAACAAAGCAGCTCAAGGCAGAGCTCGTGTGACGTCTTTGCACTGCTCTGGAGAGACTAAAATGTAAAAACCCGACCTAATTCACAGCCTAAACTGAACCTGTGGCCTTGGCAAGGTGTCAATGCCCTGAGCATTAAGAGGGGCATGAACTGGAAGCTGTGTTTGCCCAGGAGCAGCGTGGCTGATGCTCTCAGTGCTCTCACTGCTCCTCCAGCTCCTTACAAAAATCAAATTACTCCATTCCCACCAGTCTGTGTTTAATGGAGCAATTAACAGCTGCACCTTCAGCCAGGCCTGGGAATGCTGGTTCCAGAGAGCTGGGGATGGTGGTGTGTGCAGACACTCCGGGCACAGGGAAGTAAATCCAGGGGCTGTTTCCATCCCCTCCCATTGCTCAGAGTGCCACAAAGTCTGGCACAGCACACCTGGAAACAAAGTCTGTCCCTAGAGCCCAAGGGAAGGTGGTGGCAGTGCAGAGATGTGGCTCTGCTGCCTTGGAAGGGAAGGTTCAAATCCCCCTGGAAGGGAAAATCCAAGTCCTCCTCCTCAGGCTGAAGATTTGAAAGCAGCTGGAGGGCTCTCCCGAGCTCCCAGCACAACAAAACCAGTGCAAACTGGGAGCTGCACAGCCCTGTGCACTTTGTGCAGCCCCCTGTGCACCTTCTGAGCATAAAGGGCATAAAATGCATCCCCAGCTGTGAGTGTGTAAGTGCCAGTGTGAGTCTGACCTGCAGGATTCCCCCCTTTCCTCATTTACAGCCATGGCAATACCTGGGATTCCTGGCTGTTTCTACAACAGAGATAAAAAAATATTTTATTCTTATAAAAACACTAAAAAACATATTTTATTGTAAAATCATAAAGTAACTAAGAGAAACAGACTTGGAAAATATATCAAATAATGTCAGGGATGCTGACTGTTCTACCCTTCTCACAAAGCAAAAAATAGGGAAAGGTTTGGATTGGACAGCAGCTTAAAACCCATCCAGTCTCACCTTCCACTGTCCCAGGTGCTCCCAGCCCCAATGTCCAGCCTGGCCCTGGACACTGCCAGGGATCCGGGGGCAGCCACAGCTGTGCCAGGGCCTCCCCACCCTCAGGGCTTTATTCTTCTCTCGTTCCGGAGCGGATTCCCACCCTCCTGCCCGCAGCCTACTCACGGCACATCCCAGAGCAGGAATAGGAAAAAACCTCGCCCTGCGATTCCCGAGGAACCGCGGGCACGGACGCGGCCCCGCCGCGGGCCTCGCAGCCAGCGGGGAAACAGGGCCGGGTCCGAGCGCACCGGGCCGAGGGCAGCAGGCCCCAGCTCGCCCCGCCTTTGGGATACCCCGGGGCCATCCCGGGGCCATCCCGGGGCCGTTCCGGGCCCGTCCCAGCCCCGCCGCCTCCCGCAGCCCCGCGGGGCCTCACCTGCCGCTGGGGGGCCGGTCCGGCCGCGAACAGCTCCGGCGGGAACGCTGCGCCGCGGCCCGAACGTTCCGCGCACGGATGTTCCGCCACCCCGCCACGGGTTTGTTGGGATTTGGCCCCAAAACATCCGCGGGGGGCGGGGCCGGGTGGCCGCGGGGGTGACTGTCCCTGCAGCCCCCCCGGAGTGTCACCAGTGTCCTCGGCTGTCACGGCGGGCGTGTGGGATGGTGTGGAGCTCCATCTCCGCCCCGCGGGTCCTGGGGCCATGGGCCTCGTCTGCAGCGTTCCGGGATTTGGGGAAAGGTTCAAGGATGGCCTGGACTCGTGGAACCTTAACATGGACATCCCCGGGATGCACAGAGACCCCAGAGAAGCACCTTGGGGGACGCCCAGACTCCCTGGGGCCACACAGGGATGGCGGGGAGGCACAGAGGTCCCGGTGGTGGCACATGGCGCACCGTGGCCAGGCCCTGCTCTGCTCCGGAGCCGAGGTTCTGTGGCTGTGTGCGGCGAGCCGTGAAGCGGCACGGCCGGGGTGACCCCCACCCACCTCCCCAGCTGTGTTTCCACCGGGGCTCGGCCGCAGCCCGCGAGGTTCAGCGGGCTGGGAGCGGAAACGCGGCCGGCATCCCAGCGCTGGTGGGGAGAGCAGCCAGCGCTCCTGCACGGCCCAGCTCCATCATGGCGCGGCTCCCTCATCATGGCACGGCTCCCTCATCATGGCACGGCTTCCTCATCATGGCACAGCTCCCTCATCATGGCACGGCTCCCTCATCATGGCACGGCTTCCTCATCATGGCACGGCTCCCTCATCATGGCACAGCTTCCTCCTCATGGCACAGCTCCCTCATCATGGCACGGCTTCCTCCTTATGGCACAGCTCCCTCATCATGGCACGGCTCCCTCATCATGGCACGGCTCCCTCATCATGGCACGGTTCCCTCATCATGGCACAGCTCCCTCATCATGGCACGGCTCCCTTCTCATGGCACGGCTCCCTCCTCATGGCACGGCTCTGCATGGCACAGCTCTCCATGCCCAGCTCTGCACGGGCCCCAGCTCCATCATGGCACGGCTCCCTCCTCATGGCATGGCTCCCTCATCAGGGCACAGCTCCCTTCTCATGACACAGCTGTCCATGGCATGGCTCCCTCATGACACAGCTCTCCATGGCATGGCTCCCTCCTCATGGCACAGCTCTGCATGGCACAGCTCTGCATGGCACGGCTCCCTTCTCGTGGCACAGCTCTCTCCTCATGGCACAGCTCTCCATGCACAGCTCTCTGTGGCAGAGCTCCCCACAGCACAGCTCCCTTCCCACTCCATCCCCATCTCTGTGGTCCCCATGGCACAGATCCCTCTGTGTCTCTCAGCTGTGGCCCAGCTCCATCCCCACGGTACAGCCCTGTCCCCATTTCTTCCTCACTGCACACTTCCCATCCCACACCTCCTTCCCCAATTCCCCCCATCCCACACCTCCTTCCCCAATTCCCCCCATCCCACACCTCCTTCCCCAATTCCCCCCATCCCACACCTCCTTCCCCAATTCCCCCCATCCCACACCTCCTTCCCCAA